AATAGAATAGAATAGAATAGAATAGAATAGAATAGAATAGAATAGAATAGACATTTATTGCGACGCCACAACACATGATACAAAAAAAAAAAGAATTATAACACAGTACGATGAACATTAAAATTAAAAATAATAACAGTAATAATAATTAATAAACAAAATAGACATACGTAAAACAAACAAATGAAAAAAGAAAACATTAAAATTATCAAAACAAACAAAAAAGGAAAAAAAAAGCAAAATAACAACAAATTGTTCAGTCATTTGTGCAGTCGTGGCGTACGCAAAAGGACTACATTCAGCTTTTACCACAGCCAGAATTGACTGTGGCGCTGGTTTTCAATGAGCCCTGATCCGAGATGAGTGACGGACGTGTGTGTCGCAAAATAAAATAAACTACCTACTTAAATATTTGTCTATGTAAGTGTATTTTGTGCATTATGTTACTGCTGTGTGTGTTATATTATATTAAATCTACATAAATATAACAAAAATATATATATAAAATATGAATATACCCTCTGTGTGTGTTTATAGTGTGGTAACGTAATTATCTAACAAATAAAATTATTCTCGATACTCGTCCGAGTCGGATTGTGACGAAAGGTGCGCGGGGAGAAGTAAGGGGGAGGGGACGCTATTCGACAGCCAGCACAACGCAGTTCGCTCCGTTGTTTTGTTTACAGAATGAAACACGCAGTGTCCTACACCATAACGGTACGTATTATTACGATTAGAGCTATTACTAGTGTATTTCTAAAGTATAGTATATTTCTAAAGTATTTTGTAAGTATTGTATAATATCGAGCTCTTATAAATTTATATTATAAATACAAACATAAATGATGGAACATGATCATTAAATTAACAAATAATCAAAATATCAGATTAATTAGATATATAAAAAATATTAAAAAATAAAAATAAAATAATTAATAATCATTGAATAAATTTCAAGGAGCATGCCTCAACTGCCCTATCACGAAAACCGCAGCGATAACAATGAAGATATCGGCCGCCGTACACCAATGCTATGAGTCGAAACCAGCGCGGTAAGTGCACAAGTGAAATCACACTGTTCTTTTTTGGTTATCCAAGAGATATTTTCTATAATTGATTTTAAAAGTGTGCACTGATTTCAGACTACGAAGTGGACAGGACGTTCCATATCTTCGCTGCGGTGAACTTGAAACTGCCACGGAATGCAGCGGTATGGTGGCGTGGTACTACCATCGTCCAGTTCAACGTTCTGGTGAAGGAGGTTTTTACGTCGCGTGACCATACCAACTTTTTAGCCAGATAAGGCGGAACCTCGTATTTGATAACGCCAAACAACAAAGTTGCCAAATGTAAATCTCTCCGCGCTCTCATCTTTAAAATATTTGCTTCGTTAATATAAGGAGTTACGTGCATGCGTGGTGGTACATTAAAGCAGAACCTTGCACATGCATTCTGCACTCGTTGAATTTGCTTCTGCGTATGCGCTAGTAGACGCGGCCCGTAAACAACGCCCATATAGTTAAACTTAGATAAAACCAACGAGTCACATAATTTAACACGCGTTTGTACTGTTAGATAATTCGTAATGTTATACAATATCTTTAATCTATAAAAACAATTTCGAACCGTTCCCAGTACATGATTTTCGAAGCGAAGATGTTCGTCCATAACGAGACCAAGGTTACGAGCCTCACTTACTCGTGCAATGACCTCACCCCTAATGGCCAGAGTAACTCCGTGATCTACGATTTTTGCTATTTGGTTTCTTGTACCGAAAACCATGTATTTGGATTTATTGCCATTTAGTACTAACGCATTTGATTCAGCCCAAAGGGCTACACGTTCTAAGTCTTCGTTTAACTTATCCGCAGCTGTACGAACATCACATGGTTTACATGAAATGTAAACCTGTATATCGTCAGCATAAATATGATATCTACAGTGTTTAATATGTTGCACTACATCGGCACTGTAGATAATAAAAAGGATCGGACCCAAAATTGAGCCTTGAGGCACTCCTCGTGTGACGTCACGTGACTCCGATAGTAATTTTGATCCGCTCTGGTTTGACAGTTCTACGCACTGAAATCGATTCTTTAGATAGCTGTCAAACCATTTAACGGTAGACTCACTAAACCCGTAATAATGAAGCTTTGATAACAGTAAGTTGACATTTATGCAGTCAAAGGCTCTGGAAAAATCTAACAGTGTCAACAAGGTCCCCTGTCCACTGTCTTGAGCAGTTAAGATATCATCAACAACGTGGACCATGGCAGTTGCTGTGCTATGCTTTTTCCTAAAACCAGATTGTGTAGTAGGAAGAATTTTATTCTTTTCTAAAAAGTTTGTCAATTGTTTCACCACGATCTTTTCCAAAACCTTTGACATGCATGGCAGTATGTTTATTGGTCGAATATCTTGTAAGGTGGTTGGATTATTAATTTTCGGGATAGGCCGTATTACTGCATTCCGCCAGTCCGCTGGAAACGTACTCGTTTCAATGGATCTGTTTACCACAGCTGTTACAACGGATAATGTGGTGGGCAATGACAACAGCAACATGTCTGACGAAATACCATCAAGACCAACCGCCTTTGATTTCAACGAACGCATAGTTTGGAGAACCTCAATTTCTTCTACTCTCTCCAGTACGAATTTTTCAGAAACGTTACAGTTTTGTTCAAAAAATGTCATGTCTGTTAAAGCGGCTTGTGCATTACCGGGTAGATTCAAAAAATGATCATTTATTAAATTGGGTTCATTATAAATATTTACAGGAAGCTCTTGTTTACAATTTATCCTAATATTTCTTTTAATATGTTTCCATAAGACCCGGGAATCTCTCTGATTATTAATGTAATGATCGTAATAAGCTTTTTTTTCACTATGCAACACATCATTTACAGCTTTTTTGAGTTCCTTATAGTAAGTATTTTGCGAATCTTTACCGTTTTTGCGTGCTACAACATGGGCTTCATCTCTACGCTTCATCAGCTGCTTTACATTATATGTAATCCACGGATACTGGTGATGCTTAGTATGCCACACTCGGAGTGGTGCATGTATATCAAACAACGCCACTAATCGTTCATTGAATTGCCCCACCATATGATCAACATCACCTAAATTGCTTATACTCATCCAGTCTATTGCATTAAGATCTAGTTCAAATTGTTTACTGTTAATACCTTGCAAGTTTCTGCGAATTATCTTTGTTGATTCTGGCTTCGACTTCACAACATTTAAGAGGCATGTAATAAAAGCATGGTGACTCAGCGCTTGTATGTATTCGACTCGTACCACAGTATTATCCACGTCGGTACTAATGGTATCAATAAGAGTTTCACTATACTCTGTGAAATGAGTGGGTTCGGACACACATTGTTTCAATGTATGACACGTTAGAAAATATGTAATCTTTTTGGTATCGATATGTGATTGGTGCAATAAATCAACATTAAAATCTCCTAACAGAACTACTTTGTTGCACCATGAGAAACAGCCCAGACTCTCAGCCAATGCGTCTATAAAAGTGTCTACATTTAGCCACGGGGGTCTGTACGCTGTCCCTATCAGTAGCTTCATGCCAGCAATATTCAAACACAGCCACATTTGTTCTACGAGCGGAGCCGGCGGATGAGGCAATATACGGACCGCGATGCCCTGTCGTATGTAGAAGCCGACCCCACCACCGCGCGAACGCACGGCGGCAGGGCGAGGAATATGACGTAGCCGGTAACCAGGCACCGAGGGTGCTCGACCGTCTTCGCCTTCTCTCAACCAAGTCTCGTTAATGGCCATAATATCAACATCGTGTCGTTCCATTGCAACCAGAAATTCATCATGACGTGTGCCTAATGAACCCACATTTAGTAATCCTAACTTAAGTTTACTTTTTAAATTAAATTTGAATACGAATATACACTAAAATTACAATTAAACAAATTATTTATGATTAGCGCTTTGTGGACAATATCAAAGTAACAATAATATAACGCCATGATATATGGATGATAACATGTATATAAAGTTATAAATACAAGTTGGTAGCTTATCTTTAAGAATCGTACTAATCCATTTTGATAGTTAACCTGTTTGTTTACTTTATTTTTGTGAAATGCCTGTTGAGTGTTGTGTTCGTTTAAATCCTGTATATAGTAAGTGTGTGTAACAATGTGTTTTGTTTGTATATGTATCGATTTATAACCAATAATATAAATAATTGTGGTCGAGTGTAAAAATATGAGAATAATGGTATAAATGTTGAGAACCTTGTAATGCCTTGCGACTAAACCACTGCCACACATATGCCAGTACATTGAAATTTTTACTAAATTTAGTGTTATTAATTTAATTAAAAGTAACAAATAAGTCCCTAATTCTTTTAGGATTCTGCTGTCTGGGAACGAACGCCGTCGGGCCCAAAAGTTTTCAGCAGATCCGCTTCACTGCGAATTCGATGAGCCGGGGCTCCGGTATCCCTCCTCGCATAAATTCTGCCATCTTTGGTCCAAATGTACCTCCATTGTAGACGACTACCTATTTGCCTCGACCTATAGAAGAGGTGCCGGTTCAACTTTGTTAACCGCTCGTTAACATAGAAAGGCCGCGGTTCGCTCTTCTGGCCTAGACCCTCTGTAGTAACGTGACGACGCACGCGCGCAGCGCGCAGCAAGGCCTCACGTGTGTCGCGACGCGCTAGCCGTAGTGCCAGCGGCCGGGGACGCGCGCCCACCTCGCGCCTCAGAGCACCAGCGCGCGCGCAGCTTACTACATCGCGCTCCTCCAGCGGTACGCCGAGCTTGGCAGCACATGCCAACGCGAGATGCATTGGATTTTCTGCAATCTCTTCAGGCAGGCCGCTAAATTCTAGTTCGTTGGCCAGTAACTCCTGATCGCGGTCGTTTAGGTCATTCTGTAGCCTAGCTACATTCGCTTCCAGCGCCTCAACTACCTTAATTATGCCAGAATCACTTCCAGAACCACTAGCCTGCGCCTCCAAAAGTGTTTGTACCGTCTCTTCTACTTTATTCAGACGGCTCTCACAGGAGCGAACGGTCGACCGCAGCTCATACAAGTCCTGACGCAAGCCTATAAGTTCCTCCCTGGTTTGGCTCATTTCTAAACGAAATGCGCGGAGTTCGTCTACAAGATTCGCCTCTATGTTCCCGTCAGTCTTAGTCAGTAAGGATTCTTGGTTCAGAGTTTCTGGAGAGCTACAGGAAGGGGCCCGTGTCTTTAACGGAGTGTCATCCTGGTTGCTCCTGGGCAACTTGGCCTTGCAGTCCGGGCAGACCCAAGATGACGGCACCGACCTATTTTTAAGTACCCCTACGCAGTCCCTATGATATGCTCGTTTACATGTATGACAGTCGACACAGGCGCCCTCTAGCGACGACATAAATTTACAGCATGCACTGCATTTGGCTACCATATTGATCGCAAAGAAATTGCACTATGATTTAAGGTATGGGCCTCACTAATGAGTGCGACGGATTTCCGAAAGGGGTCGCTTCACTTAATTAAGTCGATGTGATGTTTATTATAGTTGCCGGTATTTATTTGAATTGTTTTTGTGTCGTACCTTATGTGTCTAATAAATTTGGTGGATTACTGATTTAAAAGCTGTTTTATTGCACTAATTCACCACACTTTAACGCACTTTATATTTTAACGTGAACACTGAAGTTTAATACTATAATCTATGTATGTTTTAGTCACTAATGACACTGTTTTCTATTTTTATTTGTTAAAAAACTGAGCAGAATTCCAAATAGCAAGTAGCGACACAGACGTCCGTGACGTCACTACAATATGTCGTCGTATATGACGTCAATATAAGTATCTATACCTGTTTTACAGTTTTAAAGCAACATTAACCGACAGCGGCACCTACAGATGCCAAGCTACCAACAAGCATGGCACGAGAAATCGAATAACCCGAGTGTTCATTTTCAGTGAGTATAATTTTTCTTAAAGTAAATTACAGAGTACGGTTTTGATAAAGCCAGACCCAAATTACCCGAAAACTTGAGCGGCGTGAAAGGAGATTATACAAAGTTTCATTGAGAGTATTGCATGCAGTTAATATCCGTGGTCACTTAGTTAAGGTATATACGAGTATGTATAACAATTTGTTTCTGTCCACAGAACCACCACAAATAAAATCTCCTGTAGAAAGTCGAAGACAGGTAACAATAGGCGGGAACGTCACACTTCCTTGTGTGGTAGATGGATTCCCAAAGCCAGACATTGCATGGGTTTTCTACAGCTCCAATTCATCAATACCGCCCCGTAAACTGAAGTAAGCACGTTTCGATATAAAACCAAATTTTAAAAATTCTCTTAAATAACTCTTTAAAGATATCGAAGAAAGTAAACGCAAAAAGCATAACTAACTTTTATGTATATATTTGATTTCAGAACAACAGATCCATCAGGCTCTTTATCATTAAGAACAATACAACATGACAGTGAAGGACGTCATGTTTGCGAAGCAACTAACATTGGTGGCAACGATACAATCACATATGAAATAGAAGTCCTCGGTAAGTTGTTTAATAGTGCTTAAGTTACAAGGGCTCGAACACATGTTGAAACACTGAAATATTAAAACAAAAATGATAAAACTAAGCACACATTAACAAAATTGTGTTCGAGTAGTCATCATTCGAGGGAAAATCTTAACACCGTGATTCAGAAATAACGCCAAATGAGTCAATGCCATCTAGCGTAATCTTAGAGAACTAAAAGAGAACAATCTGGCTTAAGACCGTCTATCACATAAAGTAGGTTTGTTACATGCGTTGCTAACTTAGAGGATGGAAAAAAATAAAGGGTTGTTAACCAGAATATATGTCAAATATCCAATGACAGAATAAGAAGTTCCACCACTTTTGAGAATATACACAAGCTGCATTCAAACTTCACGAATACATCTGTCAATAGTTAGTAGAGGTTGATATAGAAGGTTTCAAAATTTGTGGCATTCTTTAAAGTTATGTCTTATTAATAACAAAAGTAGTGTAGTAGTGTGTTAGGACATTAGAGGATAATTAAAAATTACTGTGTGATATTTTAATTGCTGAGTGAAGAAATAGACTGCCCACAGATGGCGCTACGGCAAAATGATTTAAAAACCGAAGAAGGATTTTTTCTAACTTACGATCTTTTTATTAATAATTGTAACAAACTAGTGGAGTAATTTCACAAAAATAATTGAATATCATAAACATCGTGACATTCAATAAACTTGAAAATTAAACTTTTTTAAATTGCTAAAATAATTGTTATTTTTAGAACCCCCTGTGATAGACAAGAAAATAAAAGAAATACGAACACTTCAGAGTGGTGATGTTCGTATTGAATGCAGGTAAGTTATGAAAGAATTAAGCTTCATGTACTTATTATGTAGTAGTCACAAAACTTTTAGACACAGTGTAGCATTACACTCTTAAACCTAAGCAGATATGTCTGTGTCTTTAGCTCCATTTAACAAAACCCTGTTTAGGAAAACCGAACATGATATTTCATAGATATATTCACACTTACGAAGGAATACCCCAATTCAAAATTACAAATATTACCCAAGCTATGGGCTCACGACGAAGTCGCAGCAAGCTGACAGGATAATGGGAACGGTTGTAATTCAAAATTATTTTATTTCCCAAAAGTGATCAAAATTGAATATGGTCGACTATTCGTGTATTACCTGCTGCTTTACTTAAGCCCTTATTAAGTCTCGACACCATGTAGTGTTTATAGAGTGGTATACTATAATCTAGAGGTAGTCCTTATTATACCTTCATATGTATACGCTGATACAATTTCGTTTATTATTCAGATTACTACAAGGTAAACCAAAACCTGTGGTACGGTGGTTCTACCAAACACCCCAAGGAAATAAGGAAATGGATGCAAATTCAGGAAAAGACCACATCATTCTTTATAACGTCACGACGAATATGTCGGACACTTACAGATGTGAAGCTCACAATTCTGTAGGTGACGATTCACATTCTACGAAAATTGTTGTGGACTGTAAGTATATGCATAGGATTTTTACTTATTCAAGGCTTTCTAACCATTAGTCGTAATATTATAGAAAAGGTGTCAAGTAAAAGCCCATGTAAACAGATTATCTGTTGTAACACCACATACTACAGTGTGGTATTAAAAACACACATAACTGATATCACGCATAGTCATTTGTGCGAAGCTGCATGCGTATGATAAATATATGCATCAAATGGGCGTGTACGTGTGTCGCAGTGTGCGCTTCTATTATAATGAGTCACGCTTCTAAAGCATATATTATCTAATGTTAAAACATGCCCCGAGGCACATAATTGCAATCATGCGCACACGTAACTGAGAACTAATAAGTACGTCGATAATGAAGGATACTTACTTACATTTTTGACTTTTGATAGCCTACCCAGATATACGTAGAATCGTATTAGCACAATGTAATGTCGATGTTTTCCTTTTGACCGCAATATGATGACCCGATAATGAGTGTTTATTTGACATTAGTATTCATATTGTGGTACAAGACAATTTGCCCTATTAAGATACCAACGAAATAAAACTTCTGAAGTCTAAATGATTTACTTTCAGATTCACCAGTCTTTGGATCAGAAGATCCAGATATCAAAGCCAAAGAAGCTGATGAAATAACAATCCATTGCAGCGTAGTAGGTGAACCTACCCCTGAAGTTACGTGGTTTGTCAATGACACTGGAATTGATACAAAACGTTTCAGTATTGATGAATCTCACAATTTGACGTAAGTCAAATGCAATAATGCAATTTTAGGTTACTTACATGAGTTTAAAATCTCAACCAATAAATTTCTTATGTCAATAAAAAAGTTTTAATGTAACTATATATAATATAAGTACCTATACCTGTTTTACAGTTTTAAAGCAACATTAACCGACAGCGGCACCTACAGATGCCAAGCTACCAACAAGCATGGCACGAGAAATCGAATAACCCGAGTGTTCATTTTCAGTGAGTATAATTTTTCTTAAAGTAAATTACAGAGTACGGTTTTGATAAAGCCAGACCCAAATTACCCGAAAACTTGAGCGGCGTGAAAGGAGATTATACAAAGTTTCATTGAGAGTATTGCATGCAGTTAATATCCGTGGTCACTTAAAGGTATATACGAGTATGTATAACAATTTGTTTCTGTCCACAGAACCACCACAAATAAAATCTCCTGTAGAAAGTCGAAGACAGGTAACAATAGGCGGGAATGTCACACTTCCTTGTGTGGTAGATGGATTCCCGAAGCCAGACATTGCATGGGTTTTCTACAGCTCCAATTCGTCAATACCACCTCGTAAACTAAAGTAAGCACGTTTCGATATAAAACCAAATTTTAAAAATTATCTTAAATAACTCTTTAAAGATATCGAAGAAAGTAAACGCAAAAAGCATAACTAACTTTTATGTATATATTTGATTTCAGAACAGCAGATCCATCAGGCTCTTTGTCATTAAGAACAATACAACATGACAGTGAAGGACGTTATGTTTGCGAAGCAACTAACATTGGTGGCAATGATACGATCACTTATAAAATAGAAGTCCTCGGTAAGTTGTTTAATAGTGCTTAAGTTACAAGGGCTAGAACACATGTTGAAACACTGAAATATTAAAGCAAAAATGATAAAACTAAGCGTTTAAAGTGATCACAGCGTTCTTTCTATGCAGTAGGCAAGCTAGCTGTCAGCTCGGGAGTTTCTACTCTATGAGTTAATTTTATTGAACCATGCGTTTTTAACTAGAGGATGGAAAAAATAAAGCGTGTTAACTAGAATATATGTCGAAAATCCAATGACGGAATAAGAAGTTCCACCAGTTTTGAGAATATACACAAGCTGCATTCAAACTTTACGAATACATCTGTCAATAGTTAGTAGAGGTTGATATAGAAGGTTTCAAAATTTTTGGCATTATTTAAAGTTATGTCGTATTAGTAACAAAAGTAGTTTAGTAGTGTGTTAGGACATTAGAGTATAATTAAAAATTACTGTGTAATATTTTAATTGCTGAGTGAAGAAATAGACTGCCCACAGATGGCGCTACGGTAAAAAGATTTAAAAACCGAAGAAGGATTTTTTTCTAAGTTACTATCTTTTTATTAATAATTGTAACAAACTAGTGGAGTAATTTCACAAAAATAATTGAATATCATAAACATCGTAACATTCAATAAAGTCGAAAATTAAACTATTTTAAATTGCTAAAATAATTGTTATTTTTAGAACCCCCTGTGATAGACAAGAAAATAAAAGAAATACGAACACTTCGGAGTGGTGATGTTCGTATTGAATGCAGGTAAGTTATGAAAGAATTAAGCTTCATGTACTTATTATGTAGTAGTCACAAAACTTTTAGACTCAGTGTAGCATTACACTCTTAAACCTAAACAGATATGTCTGTGCCTTTAGCTCCACTTAACAAAACCCTGTTTAGGAAAACCGGACATGATATTTCCTATGAAAGATATCTATATATATTCACACTTACGAAGGTATACCCCAATTCAAAATTACAAATATTACCCAAGCTATGGGCTCACGACGAAGTCGCAGCAAGCACACAGGATAATGGAAACGGTTGTATTTCAAAATTATTTTATTTCCCAAAAGCGATCAAAATTGAATATGGTCGACTGTTCGTGTATTATCTGCTGCTTTATTTAAGCCCCTATTAAGTCTCGACACCATGTAGTGTTTATAGAATGGTAAACTATAATCTAGAACTTATCCTTATACCTTCACGTGTATACGCTGATACAATTTCGTTTATTATTCAGATTACTACAAGGTAAACCAAAACCTGTGGTACGGTGGTTCTACCAAACACCCCAAGGAAATAAGGAAATGGATGCAAATTCAGGAAAAGACCACATCATTCTTTATAACGTCACGACGAATATATCGGACACTTACAGATGTGAAGCTCACAATTCTGTAGGTGACGATTCACATTCTACGAAAATTGTTGTGGATTGTAAGTATATACATAAAAATTCTACTTATTCAAAACTTTGTAAATATTAAACATAAAACATGGAATTCGTGTCAAGCACAGGCCTACGTATAGGTATACAGATGATCTATTGTAACACCACAAAGGTATATGCATAGGATTTTTACTTATTCAAGGCTTTCTAACCATTAGTCGTAATATTATAGAAAAGGGGTCAAGTAAAAGCCCATGTAAACAGATTATCTGTTGTAACACCACATACTACAGTGTGGTATTAAAAACACACATCACTGATATCACGCATAGTCGTTTGTGCGAAGCTGCGTGCGTATGATAAATATATGCATCAAATGGGCGTGTACGTGTGTCGCAGTGTGCGCTTCTATTATAATGAGTCACGCTTCTAAAGCATATATTACCTAATGTTGAAACACGCTCCGAGGCACATAATTGCAATCATGCGCACACGTAACTGAAAATTAATAAGTACGTCGATAATGAAGAATACTTACTTACATTTTTGACTTTTATTAGCCTACCCGGATATACGTAGAATCGTATTAACACAATGTAACGTCGATGTTTTCCTTTTGACCGCAATATGATGACCCGATAATGAGTGTTTATTTGACAATAGTATTCATATAGCTAATACAAGAAAATTTGCCCTAATAAGATACCAACGAAATAAAACTTCTGAAGTCTAAATGATTTACTTTCAGATCCACCAGTCTTTGGACCTGAAGATCCAGATATCGAAGCCAAAGAAGCTGATGAAATAATAATCCATTGCAGCGTAGTAGGTGAACCTACCCCTAAAGTTACGTGGTTTGTCAATGACACTGGAATTGATACAAAACGTTTCAGTATTGATGAATTTCACAATTTGTCGTAAGTAACAATGCAATAATGCAATTTTGGGTTACTTAAATTAGTTTAAAATCTCAACCAATAAATTTCTTATGTCAATAAAAAAGTTTTAATGTAACTATATATAATATAAGTACCTATACCTGTTTTACAGTTTTAAAGCAACATTAACCGACAGCGGCACCTACAGATGCCATGCTACCAACAAGCATGGCACGAGAAATCGAATAACCCGAGTGTTCATTTTCAGTGAGTATAATTTTTCTTAAAGTAAATTACAGAGTAAGGTTTTGATAAAGCCAGACCCAAATTACCCGAAAACTTGAGCGGCGTGAAAGGAGATTATACACAGTGTTCATTGAGAGTATTGCATGCAGTTAATATCCGTAGTCACTTAGTTAAAGTATATACGAGTATGTATAACAATTTGTTTCTGTCCACAGAACCACCACAAATAAAATCTCCTGTAGAAAGTCGAAGAGAGGTAACAATAGGCGGGAACGTCACACTTCCTTGTGTGGTAGATGGATTCCCGAAGCCAGACATTGCATGGGTTTTCTACAGCTCCAATTCGTCAATACCACCCCGTAAACTAAAGTAAGCACGTTTCGATATAAAACCAAATCTTTTTAAATTGTTCTAAAATTAGATACTAACACTAACATATAAAATCGTAACTAAGGTTTTCATTCCATAGTCCCATATTAATTTATTCAGCTTGCAATCAACTGAATTTAAACATTTGATTTCAGAACAGCACATCCATCTGGCTCTTTATCATTAGGAACAATACAACATGACAGTGAAGGACTCTATGTCTGCAAAGCAACTAACATTGGTGGCAATGATACAATTACTTATAAAATAGAGGTCCTCGGTAAGTTGTTTAATACTGTTTAAGTTGCAAGGTCTAGAACACATATTGAAAACTGAAATATTAAAACGAAAATGACAAAAGGTATATAAGGTACTGTTAGAGAATGGTTTGAGTCACAGACCACATAAATACTAATGGTTTGAGCCCATGAAACCATTAACGTTTTTTTGGGAAATAGATTGGGAGACGTTTTCGGATCTCCTTTTGCATTTGGCTATGCCCAAAAAAGAAATATAAAATTGATATGAAATTATGAACTTTGAGAACAGCTTGCCAGTAATTATATATTATTATTCATTCCCCGCCAACAAGTTATTTCTGACTGCTGCCAGTTCGCAGCTGCACAGGAGTTAAAGGTGTTAAATACATCAAATACAAAAATACATCTTTCAAAAGCTCGTGTAGGTTGATAAGGGAAGTTATGGCATTTTTTTTATTTATGTCGTTTTAACGACAAAAGTGTGTGTTAGGACATTTGAGGTTAAATAAAAACTTCAGTTTATTAAAATGTTTGTTGTTTTTAGAACCCCCTTTGATAGACAAGAAAACAAAAGAAATACGAGCACATCAGGGAGATAATGTTCGTATTCAATGCAGGTAATTTATAAAAGATTGAAGCTGTTTTTATTATGTAGTAGTTACTAAAGGTTTAGACCACACTTTTACAATGTACCATTACAATCTTAAATCTAAACAGATTTATTTGAATGTTTAGCTCCACTTACCAAAAATCTGGTTAGGAAAACAAAACATGATATTTCATAGGTATACTTACGGAGGTATACCCCAATTCAAAATTACAAATATAATTTTACCCAAGCTATCAGAACACAATAAAGTTGTAGCATACTCACAGGATAATAGAAACGGTTCAATTTTATCCACTGGGCTATCTATCTATAGTCCGTACCCAGCAGAGGGAGGTATATATGCTGATACAATTTCTTTTATCATTCAGATTGCTACAAGGTAAACCAAAACCTGTAGTACGGTGGTTCTACCAAACACCCCAGGGAACTAAGAAAGTGGATGCAAAATCCGGAGAAGACCACCTCATTCTTTATGACGTCACGACGAAAATGGCGGGCACTTACAGGTGTGAAGCTCACAATTCTGTAGGTGATGATATTCATTCTACGAAATTTATTGTGGTCTGTAAGTATATGCATACATTTTTTACTTATTCAAAGGCTCTGTAACAGTCGTAAAATTATAGAAAGGGTGTCAAGTAAAGGCGATAATGAGTTTTGATTACACGTTAATATTCATATAATTAGTACCAGACAATTCTAACGAAACAAAACTTCTGACAAGTCAATAATTTACTTTCAGATTCACCTGTAATTGGACCTGAAGATACAGAAATCAATGCTAAAGTAGGCGATGATGTAACAATCCATTGCAGCGTAGTAGGTGAACCTGCCCCTGAAGTTACATGGTTTGTCAATGACACTGGAATTGATCCTAAACGTTTTAGCATTGATGAATTTCACAGTTTGAAGTAAGTATTAGACTAAAATCTCAACCAATAAAATTCTTATGTCTAATAAATAACCGTTTTAATATACCTATACTATTTCACAGTTTTAGAGCAACATTAACTGACAGTGGCACCTATAGATGCCAAGCTACCAACAAATATGGGACGAGCAATCGAACAATCCGGGTGTTGATTTTCAGTAAGTATAATTTTTCTTAATGTTAATTACAGTGTACGGTTTTGATAAAGCCAGACCCAAATTACCCGAATAAATGATGAGCGTGTGTAAAAATAATATGTTCATTGAGAGTGTTGGAAGTTAATACCCGTGGTCTTTTAGTTTAACAATTTGTTTCTGTCAACAGAACCACCACAAATCGCACCTCCTGCAGAGAGCCGACGGAAGGTCAAAGTAGGCGTGGACGTCACACTTCCTTGTGTAGTAGATGGATTCCCGAAGCCAAACATTACTTGGATTTTCTACAGCTCGAATTCTTCAATCGCACCTCGTGAACTGAAGTACGCACATTTCAAAATATAATTTTTATTTTAAAAGACGCCTTTAATACAATAGTTTCTTTATTAAGGCACACATTTTTCGAAAATACACCTATTAACATAGAGGTTATTGCTTACATTTGAACAGTCGTTGTTGCGAGGAATTCTAATACAGAATGTTTTTATTACTTACAAGTAGGACTTGCAATATTCGCCCATTTTTGGTATTGGGATAATTCGAATAATATAAAAAAAAATATCCGAAAATCTGAATAAAACGGAGAAAATGAATATTTCGTCGGCTTATTGTGAATACCCCATATGTAATTTTTCAGAACAAAGATAAAAATGTGATAAACGCAATAAGGTCTGTAGTTAGCATTTAAATTAGATAAATTATACCTCTTTCAGATACTGTATTACTTTAATAACATATCTGAGCAAGAAGCTTACAAGTTTTTCTGTTCCAAAAATCAGTAAAAGCGAACAATGTGAAAATGCATATACGAGATTTTCACTCTAAAGAGATGATTTACTACATCGGTTTTTAATAATAGTCTATCTTTAAAAATCTTGTTATTACAAAAACAAAATCGCTTCAATAATACAATAAGCAGTGATTGGACACAGTGAACAGAGACAAAAAGTGGAGACTGCCTTGCGACTACATTTTTGTCCCGGATTTTTTCGGGATTCGGGAAATCACTTAAGTAGATTAAACATTTACGTTATTTGGGACAGATAGTAGATAGACTATATTTATCTTTAATTATTTTTAATAAATTAATTTCCGAATTGCAAGCCGTACTGACAGACATGATGTCAAAAGTTAAAGCTAAAGGTAACAACACCTTTTAAAAGTCGCCAGATTATCAAAAGGACACCCAATGTTTGAGACTGTGGGCGCTGAGTGAGGAGGTCTCGGATTTGATTGTGGAACCAAATTGGGAAATGAACTTCTCCAAATTAATTCCGGCCTAGGTGTTCTGGGAAGTGCCTCAGATTGAATTGGTTGTTGGTCTGGTGCTCATAGTACAGTTTTCTAGTTAATTCTCCTTTCGGTGTGGTTGATTGGCTCAATACTATATTACATTATTATCAACTATTCACCAACGACTTTAATCTATGGACAAGAACATTCACAGCAACTACATGTTCCAAACATAACACAATCAATGTCAAAGAGTATCAGTACCGTAGTACCGTGGACAGACGTGACAGCCTATTTGGAATGCCTATTGGGAATGAGTTAGGCAGTCAGATAATATTAAATGTTTACTGATGTTATTTATCCATAGTTGGGGAATTCACGTAAAGCCCCTGGCAAAGTCGCTATTGATTGCACTATATATTTAATTTTGCTTTGACCCAGGGGCCTTCCGCTTGCTATTTATAATTATTGTATTACTAAAAAGAAAAACAAATTAAGCAGGAGAAAAAAATATAGTCGAATTATTGATGTTATGTACTTTTCCTTCCAGAAAGGCAAAGATCTTTAGACCATGTAGCCTAGTCTTTATTTATGTTATTTTAAATTTATATACCATAGTAACTATTTTACTCATATTATCCCTATTTTGTTATTGTGTAAGCAGAATACTATGTTGCTTATTAATCTATGATATTGAAGTGTTGTGTCTTCACCGCACATCAGTGAAACACAGCTTGTGTATGGAACACCGCATCTAGTACGCTAGTACATAGATATCGTTACAATTCATAATTAAATTTACTGAATGTTTGATTCCAGAACCATAGAACCATCAGGCTCTTTATTATTACGATCAATAGAATTTGATGAAGAAGGTCGCTACACATGTGAAGCACATACCATTGGTGGCAACGATACAATCAGTTATAATGTAGAAGTTTTCGGTAGGTGATTTATTACTGCTTAGGCTAGAAGATCTAATACAAATATGGAAAACTTGAATAATAAAATGAAAATGAGCAAAACTCCCTGAAGTCTTTAACGACCTCGTTTACACACCGGTTTTCGTTGGACTCGGGAACTCTATATCTAGCACCCATAGCAAACCGTTGGACCACCGAGATCTTTTTCATTCAAATAATAATGTATAATCTTCTATCCATCTTCTTTGACGATCGCTATAGTCGAGTGGCTTGCGCATCGGTTTTCATGGTGTAGCCATCTTACTATAAAACTAACTAACTTTTATATTATTGTCTCTGGCCTGGGTATTAGTACTGTATTTATTTCCAATTTCCATAACACAAGTGCTTTGGTTACTTACTTTGGAATCACAGCAACGTAAGCGACGTTGTCCAATATTTCGAACATGCCAACGCACTATAATTCACATTGCCATCCTGAGAAAACGTTGTTGTATTGTACCCTCAACGTATACAGGATTCTTGCGCATATTTTATCCAGGCTGCTCGTGTTAAAGTTGATATTATATTGCCTTTTTCAACATGTAATCTATAGTGTAATCATATTATATGTGATTTACCAAATAAATAAATTTATTTACTTCCATGACAACTTATTGAGTGCTTGGACTTTGCAATGGCGAGGCGTCCATACAACTCCATTCTCACCGGCTTGCCTAAAACTTTCCAAGTATCATCAAATGTTATAAATGTTTAAAATTAAATTACTACATTTTGTGCTCAATTTTACGCGTACAATATAATTAACCAGTGAAATAAAGTGTACTGGTATCTTGTGTGCTAATAAGTGTTGTGTTCGATTGTCGCCAAGGCGCCACTTGTTATTGTGTTTCTCTGCTTTGCTCCGATTTTACTAAAGACAATTTTTACGTCTCGCCACTGGTACCTTGTGAATGAGTTCGTCCAGGGAAGTAATGCCACCTTACCTATTTCTGCCGTCAAGCAGTACTGTGAGCATTACTGTGTTTCGGTTTTGAAGGGCAAGGGGTGCTGGTGAAATTACAGGCACATGAGACGTATCAACTTGTAACTGCTGTGGCCAGGCGTGTCGCTTAACACCAGGCGTACCTGTTCGTCCTGTCACTTAGTATCATAAAAAAAATTACTGACGTCAAATAAATTTCAAATTCTGTTTTAGGTCCTCCACAAATAAAAAATATATACCCAGGGAAATCCATCGAAACGGTTGTTGGAGACTTAGGGCTAAAAGTTCGTTGTGAAGTTAAAGGGAATCCGAAACCTGACATCTTCTGGTCTCAAAAAGATATCGGTAATATTTCTGGTAAGATTCATCTCTACTTATCTTTATTTGTTTTCTATTGTTGAAAGAAACTGAAGCAATTAAAACTATGCGGAACAAGTCACATTGTGACGAATGGTTAAAGGATAAAAAAAAGAAGACGTCGGTTCGAATCCGGCCGGATCGAAAGAATTTTTCTAAGCGTTCGGTCTATGCGTTAATAATTATAACAAACTAGTGGATTAATTTCACAAAAAATAATTGAATGTCATTGTGGTGAACCATCCTGACATTCAATAATAAAAAAACACTGAAAGTTATAATTATTATTTTATTATGGTCTTATAGGGTCTCCTCCCTGGCGAGGGTTTAGCCCATAGTACTGTGATGGTGTGACCTCCTTACACCGTCATCCCACCTTTTTGTATCGCCTCTCTCCGTTCATATCGTCTATCGCCTCTTTTTCTTCTTCTGCTCATATTTAAATTTAAAACTTTGAATTGTTCCATTCTTTCCCTCGCATTCTAATTTTGTTTCGTTCCATTGTCACTCCCTACCCGATCGCGGCAGAGAACACATCGTCTTCCTATTCTTTTGAACCGTTTACCATTTTACTAAAAATCTCTTGTACAATACATATTTTAAGATCATAAATATTATTATTAATACAAAGATCGAACACTCAGAAAAAATTCCTTCGATCCGGTCGGATTCGAACCGACGTCTTCTTGCATACCGTGCCAGATGCTATACCAACTAAGCCACGGAACGAACCAACGGACCTCACGAATTTTTCTATGTGCTTGCGTCGTGTCTTTGTACTTGGTCTTTCAACGACTTTTTAGTCGTAGCGCCATCTATGAGAAATCTTTAACAGATTTATCACCTATCATGTATTAATAATTATAACAAACTAGTGGAGTAATTTCACAAAAAATAATTGAATATCAATTCAATAAAAATTTAATCATAAATATTGTTAAAACCGGAATAAATACTTTTATAACTGGACTTATTACCCGTTTGAACTCCCGAACGTTAAACTCACTAATCGAGATCTGCGGTCTATTGAACATTCCAAGCGGTACCAGCAGCGGCACACGCTTTCACTAATGTGAAATGTGGATTGCAAGCTACATTACAATCTACAGAATTCCACCAACGCTCTACAGTGCGCCACGCTGGCCCAATGCGGGTTGGGAATTTCACACGTTTCTGAGCGCTATGACCTTCTTCGACGTACAGGTTTCATCACGACACGACGATTCCGTCACCGAAAAGCTACATATAAATTTCGACTAACTCGGGCTCACGTCCTTTGATTGACAGGCGGCATATTAGCATAAACTTTTTATAGTAGACATAGAAATAAGACTCCAGTGACTGTTACAAATTATGTTATAAGATCTTTTCACTATAAATCCAAACAAAACAAAGCCACGTCCTTTCTCGTTAAATATGTTTTTCACAATAGCTGATAACGACACCGATTTATTTCTTATTCGATAAAACTAATTCTTAATGATGCAAAGTTAGTTTTCTAACAAAATAAAAAAAAAATCGCTAACATTAAGCTACCACGTCTTTTCCTTTATACTAACCTACATTTGTTTTTCAGATTCTGATTACACGAAAATTTATGAGGACGGCACGTTAATTATCAAATATATTGAAAAAGTTGTGGAAGGGACATATACGTGTCAAGCATGGAATGCACTAGGAACTGCCAGTGAAGATTTTTACGTTGCTGTTAAATGTAAAGTATTCTTGTTTTTATGTTTATATCTCATTTAGAAAGAAAGAAAGAAGAAAGAAGGAAAATTCATTTATTTGCACACCATAAATGACACCACACAAAAAATAAAATAAACGATCAAACCTAAAAAACAAAAGAAACAGACGACACAGTGAAAAAATAAATAAAATAAAAATAAGAAAAACATAATACACGAACAAACAGAAAAAAAACATACATACTTGAAACACAAATAAGTAAATAAATAATTACGGAACAAAGTCACAAACAAAACGAAAACTAAATTACACCACAGGTTATTTAATTAAATATTAAGACACTACATACGTATAAAGATTTGGTAATTTGTCTGGTTACGTAATAGCAGCCGACAAGATGGTGGCTAATAGCGATTACTGTCATAACATAACGCGATACAGTTTATGTGATAGGACAGTGGAAATGACTAAAGAAGGATGGCGATGGACTGTGACCCAGTGTTTTTGATAACGTGCATTAAAGTGACTTATCAGTACTTGTGATTCGTTATCAAAGCATCAAAAAAGCTAATTATGTACAACCCTCAAAGCTGGGGTTACAAACTTCATATAGGTTATGTTTATTACAATCATTGTCCTGTATTTCGCTTCAGATGTTTGTTCGTAGTAGCAGAAAACAACAAGTTTTCAGTTTGTTCCTAAAAATAATAAAGAACTTGCTGAATATTCCCAAATCTGCCAAACTCTGCCACATTTAATACAACGTTAACATGTTCTGCTGCAATAAAAATGAATAATAATTAAATCTGTCCAAATGGCAGAAATCTGCCACAAATGGTCACACTGTTCTCAATCTCAAATTAACATTAGCAAGGAATCTCTTATCAAAACGTTCCATTGCTGACTTTCTTATCTCATTATATATTGTCCTAAACATTTCTGTCACATTGTGTTTTATTTTTTATTTTATGTCATTACTAAATATTCAATTATGTACAAAACTGAAACGTACGTACAAGAACATTACCTAATCGAACTTAAGCAATTGCGTTATGTTCTTGCGTTTATTCTAAAATACATTGTTTACAATTTCTTTATTCCCGACTTCTAAAAATAGACAAGAATATGTTGATAATCAGGCATACACTAAAACTTATAAAATTATACTAGCGAAGTCCATGAACAGCTCTTCGTTGATTGTATAATTATTGGGTCAGCTTTCGCCATCCTTCGGTCAATGGCCGAGTAGATAACCTATGGTCGAGTGACTTGCATACCGGTTTTCAAGGTAATACCATCTAAATAACAAAAGAAGTTGTATTAGCATGAGGAGTGCCCATAAGGACAGCATAGTTTTACAAAGATTTTCCTTCCTTTTAAGAGGTACTGAAGATGTCTGTGGTCGAGTGGCCTACACCCCGGTTTTCATGGTGTCGCCCTCTTGATCTATCGAGATCTTGGGTTCGATCCCCGGTCGGGTCAATGTAGAAAGTAACATTTCTATCTCTGGTTTGGGTGTTTGTGGTACCGTCGTTAACCGTCGTTATTTCCGATTTCAATAACACAGGTTTTTTTTATAAAATCAAGTAACGGGACGAACAAGTGGTGCGCCTGATGGTAAGCTATACGACCGTCCATAACAGTTACAATTCCACTCAGAGCTTTAAGTTGTAAAGATCTGTGGGTCATTACCACTGCGCCAGTCTGCGTCCCTAAGATATAAGTTGACAAGTCCCATGTGCCTGTATCTCCTGCTGCATTACTGCTTGGCAGCAGAAATAGGTAAGGTGGCAGTACTTCTCGCTCTACTGTCACAAGTGCTTTAGTTACTTACTTTGGGATCAGAACAAAGGATATGACGATGTCTAATATTTCTATATTTATTTCCTTATTCAATGACCGTAAGATTTCTAGGTAAAGAATGAAAATCGTACAAAATGTTATGCAATGGAAGTATTTTGTTTAAGTTAGGCTAAGTTAGGTTAAGTTATAATC